AAAGTGTTTATTATTTACGATTTAATAAATGTAGAGTCGATTTCGACCTCGACAACGATCAATGAATATTGTAGGATCGCTTATGCTTCCAATATGTTCATTTGAACCGAATTCATGACCCCATACCAAAACTTTGTATTACCTTTAAGTGGGGTCTGTTGTGTGAGAGAGCTTTCATTAGAATTATGTACTAAATATAGGTTTTTGCCATTTAAAATGTACACATTGTGAAGAGGGTGGGGGGCATAATTATGACACAACATCAGTTCAACGATTTTTTACTAACGTCAGAAATATCAAGTACATATCTTTAATGTGAAACCTTACTTAATCTTAGCACCTCAGGTGTATTTACGAATAGCAATCAGAAAATAATGGAAATAGAAATATCGACTTGAGGTATTTACTCTTACGGTAGGCTCTTATACCACTTAACCTTTTATGTAAATATTAAACACGACATCAATTCAAAGTGAACCCTTTTCATCTATTTCTTTCAAGTATATACGGCAGAAATAAATATTAAAAAAAACACGTATGTGCCGCAACGAACCAACGTTAGTGATATCTATAAAAACATTTTAGAAAGCAAAATGTCCACTATACCAGACTTGCCGAAGGATGAATATTATTCTTAGCATCTCCAAACCTAGTTAGATGGTAATGTAAGATCGTGTTAATAGGCGAGTATTCGTGTATTGGATAAGGGTATAAACCTGAACGTTCACAGTGGGTCCTGAGTGCTTAGTGCATTGATATGGGTAACCGGCAGGGACGTCAAACACGGGGGCGGCGGCAAAAAAAAAAAAAAAAAAGGGGGGGGGGGGCTCAATACGTTTAGCATAAATTGTGTATCATATGAAGCAAGATGCGTTTGTGCCCCCCCCCCCCCCCCCCCGTTCCTGGTGATGGGTAGAAGCCCCTGAATATGTTAAGAGAAAATACCATCCTACAAACAGTCGATAGTATGAATGACCTTTGGCAAGACATTAATCTACAATTGCCACTCTCTACCAAAGAGTTTTTAAAGTGGATACCAGGTAGGACGGAATACATTGAATGCTTTGCGCACTGAATTCGGGAGCTTTTTGATAGCTAAAACTGGGATAATATCCAATTGCATTGACCGTTGTTAGTATTAATCTGCATTTGCCACACTCGACCCAGGTGAGGTTAATGGGTACCTGGCAGGAATTAATTCCTTAAAATGCTGGAGTGCTGTAATGACAGCTCGGCTAAAGCCGGGGTAATAATTAGTGCGCCTCGAAATAGAATTCTAGATAGACAGCGCTATATCATTATTATTATTATGAACGGTATACAGGTATCGAAACTGATAATAATTATTATTATTCTAACGTGACAAAGGTCTTCTCAACCGCTAATTCTGATTGACAACCTGCGTCAGACTGGGACTAAAATCTCAATATAATCCAATCTTGATCGTACCATCAGTAAATCAACATTGGTCTGTTTGGTGTGTCAATTTGCTCACAACACTAATTCGTGTATATTTCCGCCCTCTCATCATACCGTACAACCTGACTGACATACAGGCGTGTACAGCTAGCGTATCGACAGCATGACCTAATGATATTCTAATCATAAAACGAGGAATATAAATTAAAACGTCAACAATTGATATTGAAAACATTATAAATGCATAATAATTATATATGTTTGTTATATACGCATAATGATTTCTATAGGTCTTTAGGATGTGCATTCATTGAAGGTAGGTGTCTGAGAAGAAAGGATTAAAGAAAAGAGAGAAAGAGAGAGGAAGGAGGGATTTAGAGAGACAGAGACTGAGAGAGAAAAGGAGAAAACATGATTATATTAAAGAATTTTTGAGCCATAGACACCGATGATGGATGGACATATACACATTGTAAGATATAGACAGTCAAAAGAGAGAGAGAGGGGCAGAGAATGAGAGAGAGAGAGAGAGAGAGAAAGAGAGAGAGCGAAAGAAAGAGAGACAGAGAAAGAGATATATATATAGAGAGAGAGACAGAGAGAATATAAAATTGGCCTTTCAAGTAGATAGAACTAATAAACGTAGTATTTTCTTTAAAAAAAAACAATATTTTCTATACATCGTTTCTAGACAACGAGGGAAATTTCATCATCTTCCAATTACATATACAGGTCATCATGGAGCAACAAACTAATTATGAAACTAAAGGCAAGGGATGGCGAAGACCTGTATATAGAAACAATAACTCGTGTATAGATTACGATAGACAGCAAGCCAACCAATATTAAAAGAGACTGACCGATAAATTGGGTCACCAGTATTAGGCATTTTTTCATCCCGAATATCCTCGCTAAAGTAATAACGATGATACCACTCGTTTTAAATTCATAGCAACAATTTTAATCAACTCCCTTGTGAAGGTGTCGATCCACCTATCACGAGTTGTTTTCTCCCTGGGGAGGGGGGAGGGGAGGAGGGGGGGGGGGAGGGGGGTGGGTTAATCAAGCATTATCCATAGTAAGGATCAACATGTTGCCTGCAGTTCATTTAATTTTTGAAAGTATTTGGGGCAACTGCCCCAGCCCCCCCTTACGCCGTGAAAGGCAGTAGTTTACGAAAGTATAGTCAAGGGAAATTCATGGGGTGGGGGAGATAATCTCCTCTCTAGTAAGCACCCCCCCCCCCCCATCTAGAGAGGCTTGACTTTGTCTAACAAAACGGAGTAGGATTTGGTTTCCTTCATTTCACTGAGACCAAACCGAAGTAAATCATGTAGTGGTAAATTTGCCACAAATGAACTTAAACATGGGCGGCTCCCGAATTCTGGACAAAAGGGGCACAGTTAAAAAGGGGTACAAATAAAAAGGTAGGAGAAGGGGGGGGGGGGTTTACACATATACATGCAGGTGTTCAATTACTATAAGTTTTGTTTAAAACAAATCAGTAACGAGCAAGATATTTCAGGTGTTTTGCAGACCTACAAGGAGAGGCATTTTTTTCTTTAGTGTTCGTAAGTTAAGGTATGCCTCCGGGGTTTAAGAATGGGGTCATGGGTTGTTTTCCCTCCACCTGAGTTTGCCAGTGGTCTTGGAGATATGGCTAAATGAAAATCGTGACCGACTTGTTCATGGGTTTTTCAATTTTCATTTAGCTTATCAACCGCGATCACCCATGTCACCGGTTTTGATTTGAAACGAGAGCCATACAAATGAACAGTATACAAGCAAAGCCGCACTGTTGATAAATGCTGTTGGGTTCAATAAATAAAAACCCTTGTCATATTTTTGAGGGGGCTTCTGTTCGGGATGAAGTATGTTGTTCGAGTAACCCAATTTCGGAGGGCAGTGACATTTACGGAGCTGCATGAGTCATCAAAAGAATGTTGCTCATGTTCCACAGAAGGGAAACATTATTCTTCTCTTTTCTCCTCCCTCTGCCGGCTCCGTTTCTTTTGTCCGTTTACTCTTTCCCCTCTCTCTCTTTCATTCTTTTGTCGTTCACGTCTCTCTCCATATCCCTCATCCTTTTAGAAGATGATATCCGGTTTGGTCGACCCCCCCTCCCTCTCTTTCTATTTACCCCCCTGTATGTATTTTTGTTCTTTACATGAATCGACTCGTTTTCCTCACATTGGTTCCGTATCACGCGTTATGTGCAGTCAGCCGACAATTTTTTACATTTCGTATTAATAATCATACCTCTCCTCTCCCCTTCCCTCTCCTTCTCCTTTCCCCTCTCCTTCTCTCTCAGATTTATCAAAGAATAGGCCTTCCCCTATATCTGCTTTTCTACATTTCAAAGGTACTTCACATACATTTTACAAATTAACCTCATTTGAAAGGTTTCTCATGTTGTATATGAATCTTCTGGAAAATGTATGACTGTAGCGTGATTAAAGAGAACTTTGCTTTTTGGGCTCAATATCTTAGTTGCAATATTTTTTTTTTTTTTTTTTTTTTTTTTTTTTACCAATATGCTTGTTCATTCATTTAACAAACAATTGTAAAAGAAAAGTACAGCTATCTACAATTTGCCCCTTTCTCCACAAAAGCCTGTCATTTAATTATTAATTTAATAATTGATTAATCAATATTTTATATTGAGGGGTCATAGAGAAGGGGGGGGGGGGGAGCTAGGATTGCCCTTAACAGCTCATTGCGATTACTGTCAACATAGGTGCTTAGCATTACCCTCCACTATGCAAATTATCATTCTCTTGATATAAACAACTCGTAATAAATATATATTCCATTTTATTCATCACCGAAATACCTATCCATCATTTTTATTATCTCCTAAGCCTCTGCTTGTGACAGCATAAACCATTCAAATACTTATTAATGGGTTAATGGTTAATTGTGCCAGATTTATAATGATTTTCTTTTCTACATTCAGATTGGGTTTATTGGCGCACATCCTCCAAAATGTAAACAAATTGAAGGGAAGATGATAACCGGAAAATTATCTATTCATGCTAGATGGGAAAGAATTAAAGAATATCAAAGGTGAAATAACTATGTTTCATTCACCAAAGAAATGTTGACAAACGTAAACAAATCATTACTATTATCTCCAAAACAGAAAAATTTGAAAACAGGGATTTGATTTCAATGCAATATCCACATAGACAAACAAAACCATTGAATTAAACACTGAGGCAACCATTATCCATGTGAATTATATTATTTGCACGAGCAAGGCAAAATCCATTAGCGTCGACCACAATGAATTGCATTTTTGCAAAAAGGAATCTAGTGTGCTTTCTGTTTATCCATTTTTTTCCCCAGGTACATGATTAAATTACCTAGCGATTGGAATTTTAAAAAAAGTGTGATATAGCGCTATTTTTTTGGTGACAACCTTGTGGTGTATTCGGTGGTTCTTTGAACATTCAATCATTGTCATTCAATTCTCTCACTCCCCTTGCAGAACAACTGCAAGAACAATAGAATACAAAGTCACACAAAGTATGTATAGTAACTATATTTCACATAACAGGAACTACATAACAGAAACATAATTCTTGGTCTTTCATTTTATTGATAAAACTCAGCTGCGAAAGACAAAAGTCATCTTATTTATTTTAATACAAGACAACAACAAAAAATGGCATGAAGTTTTGAAAGTTTTCTTTGCAATCACAAACGATTTTCAGTGAACGAGTTACTAGTCCGAGGCACTTCCGGTACAAGATTCAATTGATCACACATCAACATTTATTTTCTCTCTTTTTTTGTTGGCTGTATTTATAATTTTTTGAATAGTTTCTTTCTTTAAAAGAAAGAAATTTATCAAAGGGCTGAGTACTGAGTACTAATAACAACATTTATAACCTTGGAGGCCATGAACAGAAATGGGAAGTATCACAAAATGAGGAAATAGTATGATTTTATTCTTACAGATCGGAGACAACGTGTGAAAAGCCATCTACTTGAAATCAATGATACACAGATTTGATCTGATTTACAAAAAGGAATACAATTGGTACTTCCAATACTTTTTGTTTTTTTGTCTGCTTATGAAACAATCTTTGAATACTTCCTCATCACAAGAATGTTAAATATTTTGCTAAAGAAATCAAAATTTTGTTTCTAAAGATCTCGGGGCTCAATAAAACTGTACTTCCAATATTTTTTACTTTTTTTTCTACATATGAAACAATCTTCATTTCATTGATATTTTGTATTTCATTGTTTGTATTTTACCATGTATGTATATACAGGACCAATATGAAAAACAGCCTTGGTTGATATTGTCATCCTGTATAAATATTTTCAAATAAATAAATAAATAAATAAATAAATCTTTGAATACTTTCTTAGCACAAGAATGCTGAATATTTTGCCAAAGTAATCAAAATTTAAAAAAAAATGATTTGGGGGCTCAACAAAACTGTACAGTATCAAATAATTTCCTTTCATCATCTTTTCCTTCTCCATTTTCTGTAAATGTATGTAGTATTCAACTGGAATGTTTTTACTTATAATTCACACTGCGCCATATTCCTGGTTAACTACCGGTATTCATATGTGCATTAATGATGTTACCCCAGGTTTTGCCAGGCTTTCATCATAGGGCGTAAGGGCATTCAAGGAATTTCTTCCTACTGGGCACCCACTTTCTTTCACCTGGGTCGAGTGTGGCAAATGTATATTAATGGCTTGCCAAAGGATTATCATGCTGTGGTAGGGATTTGAACCCTGTACCTTGTGATTCAGAGTCAAGTGACTCATCCACTACACCACTATATTAATACTAAACAAAGACAACAAAGTCAGACTTTGGAACTAATAGAGAAGTGGTAAATTCTCTGTCTTTGTATTTAACTAGACTCTGATAGAGTTTGGTTCAAGACCAAGTCGCATCTTTCCCATGGCAACTTTAAAAGTCGGCCATCAGACCTAACTATCAAATCTGATTGGTATGTCTGTCAAAAACCCAATAACATACACAGTATTAAGCCAAATGCCCCTTATACACCTTAGATAGTATCAAAGGCAAGGAAAGACCCAGCCTCAAAATGTGGCCTGATAACTGATGCATAAAGCAAGCCCTTGTTTTTACCCATTTACACTAAGAAAAGGTGGCCCCTGATCTTATTTAACCGTAGGCTTTGCCAAAAACAGACATCATGGGGCTCTTCTTCCGCTTAGTTTGCATGCACTTGGTCCTTCAGGGGCCAGCCTAGTACCTGTTGTCTAGTTACACCTAGCACGAGCCATCCAGGGTCAGCTTCAGCTTGGTGTGCCAGGGGTCAAGTTTTACCAGCCTTCATCATCTTCTACGCTTTCTCTGTGTAACCTATATGGATAGACCAACCCAAGGATGCATATCTGCATCATCCTAAAGAGCCCCACCTGGTGCCACACCCCACTCAGCATCACCTCCTGGAGGCCCGCTGGGACCAGGGACCGGTAAGGACGATGCCCTCCCGAGAGAGCCATGGTCCGGATGACGAGCTGGGTGTAGACGAAGATGAGGGAGAGTTTGGTAGGGAGGGCGGAGGGTTCTAAGCAGGCTGGTACGCCAGGAAGACAGGTGGGCTCCTCGACAACATCCTCTAGATAAGACTCATCCTCCATCTCGTTATCTTCATCGTCCAGCATGAACTGAAGAGGGTGAAATTTAGACAATTTAAAGAGAACAGTCAATTTAAAATATGTTTGTACAGCTGATAAGTACATAAACAATCCCCCCCCCCCCCAAAAAAAAAAAATACAAAAAAAAAATACAAAAAAAAAAAAATTAAAAAAAATACAAAAATTTCTTAACCATTCTATAAGTTAATATTCAAAGATTATGAAGCAAAAACAAAGTCACATTGAGTTCCATTACTTTCATGCAAACTGTTGTGCTGTGAAAGTATGGGTCTACATGTACTTGCAAGTTACTCAAATGTTTACTGAAAGCATGATTAAACTTGCACAATATCTCTTAGAGAAATATCATTTGAAGCTGAAACTTTAAATATAGTGTTGCAGCATGAAACCAATAATCAAGGGACCAAAATATTTTGGGTGATTTATTCCATTTAAAACCATCTATAGGATTCACAACAAAATTTTTGTAGAGTTTTAATAATCATTATCAATGGATCATTATCATGTATTAATCCTAAGTTTTTAGTAAAGTTCAGGGCAGCCAAAGGTAAAAGGAATTAATGTAAACTTTATTAAAATCATAAACACTGAAAATTGCCACAATGGATAAGCATAACATGGCCATATACAAAAATTACAATGATATAAGAAAGAAACAAAGATTCATTTTTGCGACAGCCATATGGATATCCATGTATTAAACTCACATATCCCTGATGTATCTATCAACATTGATCTTACTATTTGTCCCTTGAATGTAGCCATCAAAAGAATAGAACTATGAGTCATCATCATGCCCTTAAAGTGCATAGTGCATAGCATTTAAATTGATACCTAACCTTTATTTGAAGGACAGAAAAACAGACCCATTATTGAAGCCCTATTCACATATGGGGCATTGTGCTCCTGAACTGCCAAACAAAAACTGTTGTAAAAAATAATTTTCCTTTTGTTACATGTACAGTCAAACCTGTCTATAGCAGCCGCCCAAGGGAAACAGAAAAAGTGGTCTTTGAACACAAAGTGGACTTTGTAGACAGGTTCCTTTAGTACATGTTTCAATGAGAAACCATTTTCAAGGGAAACAAAAATATGTGGTCTTTGTAGACAGGTGGTCACTAAAGCAGGTTTGACTGTATATGAATGGACAAGTGGTGTGAAAAGGAGTAGCTGCGCGCATGAAAGGCCCCTAAGCGTGTTGACTTTAAAGCGATACTGAACTGATGAACTTTCTGCCCCAGCACAGCGCCATCTCATGGTCAACTATCCAACAGCGCGTAACCTAATGCCCAATTCTCGCTTTACAGATAGAGAACTCGATGCGAGAACCAACCGTGCACCAAGGGAAGCAGCGAGTTACGGGACCATACTGCTACAGCTGACCCGAGATGGCGCTAGAGAGGATTCTGCAATAGCGCTTCTACTACAATATGGCTTCAATACCTGTATATTCTTACATATAGAATGTAAAGTGAACTGCGCTCAAGTATTTCCATTTAAAGCCAGTCTGCACTAGTTTGGCCAGGAGGGGTTAGACCTCCCTGCATGGTCACTGACAAGTGGTTATCTCATCAAATCAGCTCTCAATTAACATAAGAAAAAGGGGACCATGGGGGTCAACAGGTACCACTTAGGCATGGTTTGCTATATAGAGGGCGCAAGTAGCTACAAGTAGTGCAGTCCTGCTTTAACAGCAGTGATTTTGAGGTGGTTTGTAACCATGCACCACGTCGAATGTGAATGGGGCCTTAGAAAGAAGAGGAAATTGACACAAGCCATAATCACAGAACAAACGTCATAATCTTTTGATACAATATTGTGAGATTGGAATGTGTCAATAGCTGTTTATCATGCACACACCTATGGTCACAGTTAATTACTTCTTCAAATTTGTTTAGTGTTTAAAGCTAAAAAGATCAGCACTCTGAAGAAAGAAAATGATGGTCATAGTTGATTGAAGGATATTCAATTTCATTTAACTACTCCATCCATGGAGGAATTTTAATTCAATGTTAAATGAAATTGAAATAAAAGTTGGATATTATTGTTTGATTATATTTCCTTTGGGGAGATGTTTTTAGGTAGTTTCATATTATCTGCATAGAGCCAAAAGGCCATATGCTCATATCATTAGGCCTGTCCTCATCAGCTCAAGTTTGCGAAATAACCGCAAAATAAGCTATTAATCTGCGTCTTCATCAGCCCACAGTTGCAATTAGCGGATATTAGGTCAAGAAAATATCCCGAGACATCTTGGTCTTGTTTCCAAAATATCCCGCTATTTGGGAAAAAGCAGGGTAATTTGCGCCCGTCCGAGCTAGTTTGCGATGAGCTTATCGTTACGGTGAAAACGCAATTTCGAGCTTCAGGATAATATCCCGAGTCTGAAAATAGGACAAACTCAAGCAGACGAAGACAGGCCTTCTGAATATAGTTATACCTAACCCTAACCCAATGCTCTTCTGGCTCATAACATGTATTATAACTAGCATTTAAAGGCCCACTGCACTACTTGTAGCTACTTGCGCCCTCTATATAACAAACAATGCCTAATCGGTGACCATTGGTCCCCCATGATCCTCTTTTTCTTATGTTAACTGAGAGCTGAGTTGATGAGATAACCACCTGTCCAGTGACCTTGCAGGGCGGTCTAATCCCTCCTGTAAACTACGGCAGATAAGCTTTAAATCAAGGATCATCTCTGCATTATCATCTTCCGCCCCCAGACCAACTTTGATAAATGAAGTAGCCTCTAAATGTGCATTTGATCAAAATATGATATCCCTTTTATTTTTCTAGATAGTGTGAAAGGAGTCTTCAGAAATGTACTTCCAATGAATAAATCAAGTTATAATCTTTAAGTGAATATAGTACACTAATATTATAGGGAACACAGATTACAATGAATGGAGAAAAGATACTTCTTTACAGCAATTCATATACTATGAGGTTAAAAGGCTTACTGTAAGTTGCTAACTTGCTTCTAAAAATCCTTCCGCTACAGGTAATTTTGCTTACAAGAAAATATGAAATCAATATTAAAAAATCAATAAAATAGACTTTCAAATTTTCAGCTACTACTAATATTAGCTGTTAATGAAAGACAAGTCATATAGCAAAAAAAAATAAAAAAATCTGTCGACAAGAATTATTACAGGAAGTGAAAATAACTAAATATGATATTGAATAGGAATATAGGATTATTATGAAGAAGATAAAAATGAGACAGAGTATTTCATAGACAGAAAAAAACAATTTAAAAGAGTCAAGGGCTACATTTAGAAAGAATTAGGAGAAGAAGAATAACAGGTAATGTGATTATCATGAGGTTGATCGTGAAAGTATGCAAGGTATGCAAGGTATGAAAAAAGAACAAGAGCATCTAGATCGAGGAGGAAACACTTGGTACTGATGTTGATATATTATCTTCATGCATTTCTTTCTTTAGATATACCTAACCGCGAAGGTAACAGGTATTACACTTGCAGATAAGCAGTAGACCAATGGCTTACAGTCCTATCTGAGGGACTTTGCAACAGAGGATTCATGCCAAAAGCAACTACCGAATCAATATCATTCATACAATATTGAAACAATATTTGATCTCGTATCCAACTCTTAAGATTTAGTTTGTACTGTGTTTCTTTCTATTTTTCTCACTATTTCTTTCCTGTATATCATTCATTTCCTCTATATATTGTATTTCTTGGTACCACCAACCCACTACTACTCACCCCGCACATAGATTTGCATGTAATATCTATATATGTGTTTGTATGTGTTATTGTTTAATTTAGAAAAAAAAAAATTGTATTTTGATATTGTAACTTTAAGCAGGGGATGATCCCAGATAACAATTTTTGATCACCCCTGCTGCAGGTTCATCTTTTGTTATAATGCTTTTATATTTGATTGTAATTAATACCGTCTTTTATGAATCTGTGGAAATAAATGAAATTGAAATTGAAATAATGAATTAATTAATTAGATCAATTTATGCTAAAAACTAAAGAATCTTATTAAAAGAAAATCTTTTCAACTCCATTTGAGTCAAACACTAAAATATGCTATCCTCTGTCAAAACCATGATTATATATACCCAATCTAATCATTCAAGGAAAACCTGTTATAAATTCCAAACATCCAATGTTTCGTTTCCTTCTAACCTTACTCTTTGCCGTCCAGAATACCTTACTTTACTACCATGGGTGTAGTTTGGCACTAGCATAACACATTCCAAAAGTGCACTTTAACTCAACCTGCTGATGATGATGAAAGGGGGGGGGGGGGGGGGGGGGGAGAAACTTGAAGTTTAGACTTTACAATCCAAACAAACCCAACCTAAGCCTAGAGTTTGATTTGTTTTCTTGAATCAATAATTGTCTCTCCAAAGCAGTGATTCATCAGCCTTCGTTTCATGTCTGGTTGACTTTATGACCAAATATCTATCTTAAGACTAAGAACAACATCAAAATAGGGTTGGTTGTTCCTTCAGCTGAAGAGGAAACATCAATTTTGTTCCCTTTGTTTGACAACCATCAATTTCTTTAAACCTTTGATGAGGCACCGGTGCGTAGTCTACGTCCCAGGTTTTTGATGTCATTATCGAAGTGGTCAAAAATAAGTCAAATGTATTTTTAAAGCAGTTTGGAGCGTTTAGGAGAATTGTTGATCATGAATTGTGCCTTTAAATCATACATTATACCTTTGAGATAGGAGTGGATCTTCTCATAACTCTTTCGGGACAGTAATCCCACATTTTGTGGTTTGGCTCAATAACTGTTGATTCAGAATGTTAAGGAATATACCAGACACATACGTAGAAAGGGCAAACATATCTACATAAACTCCAGACATTTTTCTTGCATGACCATATTGCATTTGATGCCAAGCATTTTAAAAAGGAAAAAAATAAACTTTAAAATCTTTAAACTGGCAACAATTTGAGAGGTTCTGAATCATTATTTTGATAGTTTATGTTTAGTCTAATATTTTTCATTGCAACAATG